TATACGAAGTTATACGAAGTGCCTGTTTTCGCTCTCTCTTTCGCTCTCTCTTTCTCTCTCTCTCTCTCTCTCTCTCTCTCTCTCATTCTCACTCACTCTTTCTTTGTCGACCAATGTCGGCGCCTTCTTCGCCGTCGCGCCAAGTGCGGCATGCTAATTAAAGAGCATTCGCCAGCAAATTTTACGCGACTCTCTCTCTCTTTCTTTCGTTATGCATAGACCGCCACTGCCGTTGTTTCTGTTCTTCCCACGGGACTCGCGGAAATACCCCGAAGACCTGGTGCCACATTTTACGTTCAAAACCACTGTTCAAAATGAAACATGTGAAATATTGAAATTTTCTCTCATCAATCATTTAAGAAGCCAGCTACTTCGAAATAAAGTACATTTGAAAAAGAAAATTTGATATAAAATAACGTTTTATTAACTTCACAATACATATTTTGCGGAGCCTCTTCCCTATTATTCAAATGCGTGTCCGAGAAATCAATATCACCCTCGCCGATACGGGCGGAAAAATCGTCGCCGGAAGTTTTTCCACGGGCGCGCCAGAAGGAAAATCGAGGAGGTCCTGAGAGGACCGGCGGCGAGCGGGAAGCAGCGGAAGGAGGAAAAGGAGCAGGACGCCCCTGGATGGCGTTTAGCCAGCGACGCTCCCAGCAGTGTCTGCCTTAATATCCGCCACTAACATTATTTCATAAAAGTATTACTATAAATCCAAACTCGCGTTATTTAAGCACCGTGCCTCCGCGCGCGCGTAGGGGCGGCCGTCTGACTCGCCCGCGCGCGCGATCCCACCAGAAACCACCTCCAACCAGAACCCCCCATTCCTCCACGGAGGTTCGCCTTACATTATACCGGGCGAAGGAGCGCGGCAGGCAAGTTTTGCCACCCTCTTTTCCCTCCGCCACATTAGAGATATATTATGCAGATAGTGGAGGCGCCGCCGCCGGCCGAGGCGAAGCGCTCCCGGGAAAGAAGAGAGAGAGGAGCAGTGCAGGGGGGGCTTGCGGAAATTTAAAACTTTATTTACCCTATGCGCCGAACGACTTTTCGCCACCCTCCGTCTTTCTTCCGCCCCTCCGTTCCCCCCGCCGTCCATTCGCCGGATGTATGCACCGACCTGCACTTCGTGCTTATTTATTTATTCGGACGGATGGGATAGCTGGCGCGAAGAACCGTCGGGAAGACGGTAGAACTCATCCCCGCGTACTTCCTCCGTAACGAGAGACGATCGAGAGGCGCGATTTCTATTGGTAATGCGCATATTATTTATTTGCATAAATATCAGAGATAGTCCGGTGCGTACTTATGCGGAAGATATGCATCGGTCAGATGAAAGTAATGTAAGGTACTTTTGAAGCTGATTTTACGTTGCATATATTATTTCGATGGTACCTTTTATCGCCAGCGAAATCATATCTGCTCATATTTCACGTATACCATTACGTTTCTAACGCGCGAAATTCTAGCCTGAGGTTCATTAGTCTAGATTGTTAGTGTGAAACGGCTGTATTGTCGGAAGAAAGATCAATTTGTATCGATTCAACATTATTACGACTAATTATTAAAACACCTATGAGTGTATGATAAGAAACAAATTCTAGTAATAAAAATTTCATCTGTCAACAATATACCTAATACTTTATTCCTTGCGGATCTTTTGCACTGAATCTACACACATAAACAGTAATATATTACAGTAAACTCGTTTAGACTCGATGTCTATTTTAAGTAATAACAACATGTATTAATAATTAATGTTTACATCAGACTTTTGATATTTTGCTATTGCGCATTTTATCAGTTTTCGCACTCGAACCAGTTATTATATCAACTCGATTCTGTGTCTTCGTGCGCATCGACAGGATTCGATTTACGAGAACCCGAAGTCGAGGCGCGGTGAATTCGGTAAAAATTCGAGAAAACCGTTTCCGGTTCCGGCTCTTTGAACTTACTCGTTCGGGACCAGTACTTACATCCTTCGTCGGAGGCGACACTTCGCCGTGATTGCGAACGACGGAGGGTGCAGAAAGAAAGAGAGAAGAAAAAAAAAGAAAAACTCGGTCGTCCCCTTTTAAACTCCCGGCCGTTCCCGAGGAGACGGCGGCTGAGAATGAACACGGAGGCGGCGATAGCGAAGGGAAAGCGTAAACCGACGGTCGGCTGATTAGTCGCGAGACTTCGCCCGTTTTCACGATTTTCTCAACGAGCGGCGCCGATTCGCAACGGAAGGAAGATCCTTCGACGTCGATGAAGAAGGAGCAACGGAGGATGAGTTTCTCTCCATCCTCGGCGACGCTCATTTTGCGCTGCTCTTTTAAACTGAGAAAAAAAAGATTCGAGACCAACGAGATAAAAACAAGAGCGATGCGAAACAAGAAGCAAAAATTTCGAGATAATCGGTTCAATTCAACGAGTAAAATCGATATAGGTTTTTTTTTCAAATTCCACAATATCAGAAATACAACGAAAATGATTTATATATAAAAAATAAAGTACAAAAGTAGAATAATTAAAATATTCAGGTGAATAGGTCTATAATACATATCTGCGTTTTTCCAGGTAATGTTTTCTTAAAATAAAAAATTCAAAGATTCAGTATATATTTTTATATACCTAATATTGAAAGCTAAATCTGTCGAGATTAACAAACAGCACATCCGAATGCGAATAAAAAAAATAAAAGATGTTTAACGTCTGTTTTCAGAATGATTCAAGACGGATATTTGAGAATTATTCAAGTAAGATATTTCGTAAATAAGATGTTATTCTTTTTCGCGGTGTAAGATATTCTTTAAAAATGCACAATTTCAGGCCCTCCGGCGCTGCTGGTCGACGCTCATTAATTTTTCGCGCTCGTCCTGAGCTCATCCCGCACACGCGTTAAGACTCGTTAGGACCTTGAGCGCCCAACGAGG